GCATATAATAGTATAGGTGGTGTGTAAATATGGCAAATCACGAATATGATATATGTAGGACTGAAGTTTCTTTCTTCATAAAATCAAGAAGAGATTAGATTAAAGTAGTGGATCCCAGACTTGTAGATTTCAGTGGCCAGTAAAATGTGAAAAAGAAAACGTTACGGGCCAGCCCAGTGGCGTAGGGGTTAAGTGCGTGCGTTCTGCTGTGGCAGCAGGGGTTCGATCCTGAGGGTGCACCAACGCACTGCTTGTCAAGCCATGCTGTGGCGGCGTCCCGTATAAAGTGGAGGAAGATGGGCACGGATGTTAGCCCAGTGCCAGTCTTCCTCAGCAAAAAGAGGAGAATTGGCACATGTTAGCTCAGGGCTGATCTTCCTCACACACACACACACAAAAATGTTAGTGATCAACCTGGAGTTGCTGACTTTTTGCTAATTAAGGACATTAAGAACAACAAAACCCAAACCTATATACCCATTATCGTTATTTAATAAAAAGATATTAAAAATATTTTGTAACTATAAAAGAAGTACATGGATGTTGAAATTTTTTCGAATTGTACAGAAGTATAAAAAGTAATTTTCTTTCTCTTTCCCTCTCTCTGTAAAATCTACTATGAACATCCTTCCCTACAGATCTATCTCATTTTTAGAAAGGACATTTTAAACAAATATAATATATAAATATAAACATGTATATATATATGCATATATATCATATATTTATTATATATAAACACAGTATATCATATTATTTATTCTATATAAAAATATATAGAAGACATATATAATCTCAGAACAAAGGACAGACCTTCCCATGAAAGGCCAGGTGGCAATCTTATTTATCCATTTGGTAATCACAGGTTTGGATGACCTTCTATCTCTAAAATTCCATGATTAAGTCTAGAATATCCTCAGCATTTACATGCCTTTCATTATTATCACTAACCTATATATTTCAAAAGACAACTAGGAGTCTCTTTAACATCTCCTTGGGTAGGAAATCATAGATTGCAAAATGCTCTCTCAGTCCTCTGACCTGTTTGTTGCCTGAGTTCATGTCTGTGCTCCATCATTCTCACTGGGTCCCTATATCAGGGTTTTAACCTGGGGTCCATAGATTTCACGGTATTCATAACACCATGAAAATATATATGGTATTTTGTGTATATACTGTTTTTCTGAGGGAAGGGTTTATAACTTTCTATGATCCAAAAAATGTAGAAAACTATAGCTTGGGTTAAGTTTCTTGGTTTTGCTTTAAATAAATAATCTTATTATTGGCTTGGGAGTCCCTTAACAATTTTTTCTAGTTCTTTTTTTGTGGGGGGTACCTAATTTCTGGTTTGCATTTGACAGCTGCATGCCTGAGCTCCTTGTTCTCACCTTAATGGTTTTCTCATTATAAACAGAAAACATTCTCTTCTACCAATTTAGCCATATGGTATTTTAATTTTTTATTCTATTTCTATTTTTTGAAGTACAAAAAGATAGAAAAAGGCAGAGAGTGGTGCCGACATTGAAACTGACAGGCAGGGAGACAAGCAGCTAGAGACAGTGATACACAGAGGCACAGATAAAAGGCCTAAGGACAGAGAGAATAGACAGTAAAAGAAATATAGAGGAATCTGGAAACACAGAAGGAGAGACACAAGAACTGAGCAGATAGAGAAGAAGGATGGCAGAAAAACAGACAGGCAGGCAAGGAGAGAAAGGAGCATGACTGACAGAGAGGTAGGAAAGATCAACAAGAGGGACACAGATAGACAACCAGAAAGGGGTAGAGAAAGAAAGAAGGCAGACAGAGAAAGGAAGAAAACAATAAGGAAAGAAAGAAGACAAAGTGATAATAGTGTTTTATACTACACAGTGCTTTATAATTTATAAAGTGCTATCACATACATTATTGCCAGCAGACAGGGAGAATCCAGCAGACAGATGGGGTGATGGAGGGATACAGGCCAATCAGACAGAGGAGAGAGAAGGTGGCCAATCAGAAAAAGAGGCCAGAATGGAGCCCAAGACAGATAGTTAAGAAGAAAGACAGAACCAAGAAAAGAGAAGTGAGAGAGGGAGAGAGGAAAAGAGAGGAGAGACACAGAGACAGAGGCTGAAACGGTAAAATTCAGGAATACACTCAGTAAAAAAGCAGAAATGAAAGAACAGTGTATTGTGTTTAAAAGTTTTGTCATCATCTTTTATCATCATCTTGAAGAGACCTGGATAGAGGCTGTGTCTTTGTTTCTCCCAAGGAGTTACAACATCTCTAAGGTGGCACGTGAGAGGAGCCAGAAGGAAGGATGAAAAGGGAGAAAAGTTTTAGTAAGAAGCGAAGCTTTTTAGACGAGGAAGATAAACTTCTTGGACAGGCCTAGGTCAGCAGCCTAAGGGTGCTGCTGAACCTGAAAGTATCTAGATTCATATGACTTGAAAGAATTCATATAGACTATGGAAAAGCAGAGCGGGCCTCCACCTACTCTCTGCGCATGTAAGCTCAGCTTACAAACTCTCTGCACTTATTAACTGTACCTATATTTATGTGGTATTTTTCAGTACTACCAGTGCTTTCATGTCTTTTCTCAATTAATACATAGTTCAGTGACAAAGAGACCAGCAAAGGTGTGCTGTCAAAACAACTTATTATGCAAAGTAAAATAGGAGATTAGGAGAGAGCAAGCCCTTCCTAAATGCTCCTCAGGTGCTGACAGTAAAAGCATGCAACCAGCAACCAGTCAATCAAAAAGATAAGTGCCATAAAGTAGAATCAAAAAGACAAGAGGTGGCAAGCCCAGCAAAGTAGGAAGGAGTACTGACAGACTGACAAGAGGAAGAAGCATCCAGCAAAACTGGGAGAGAAGCAGGAAGAAGTGTAGCAAAAAGCAAGTAGACTTTTATATGTGTATATTCTTCTCTGGAACAATATCCAAGAACTGTGAAGTAGTGACTGCCTCTGAGGAGAGGAACTAGGGGACTGGGGGAGAGGGATGGGAGGGAGGCTTACTCTTCACAGGATACTTTTAGTACTTTAAAAATTTTGTACAATGTGTATGTACTATTTAAAAGTTGACTGAAAAAAAAAAGAAGAAAAAAGAAAATCAAGCAGAGATGTTGACAGCAAGAGCCAGCCAGCTAGCCAACAAAAAGGCAGGAAGACAATGAGAGACTGGAAAAATGGCAAAAAGACTGAGGCAGGCAGACTGTCTAAGGAACCAGCAAGACAAAAAGAAGAAGAGACAAATGAAATGGAGGCAAGCAGTGAGGGAAGGCAGGGTAGGGGATATGGGAAGAAGGCAGATAAGAGTTTGGGGCAAGGGGGTCACTGAGAGGTTTGGGGTAGAGAGACCGTCACCAGTGACAGGATGTTGGTATAGAGGAAGCTAAGGGAGGAAAAGCTGATAAGCAGACAGACTAAAAAGATACAAGCATTAAACAGTGAGATAGCAGCAAGCAAGTAGGGTAGACAGGCAAGAAGACAATCATAAAGGGAGGCAAGGAAAAATCATGAACTTTACAGGCATAAATAAGAGGAGGAACAAGTAGAAGGGCAAGATAAGAGGCAAACCAAGATAGGGAACCATGGCAGGGCCTGGCAGGTAGACAGACCAAGGCTAAAAAAGTGATAGAGACAGGCAGGCGGGGAGACAGATGGCTAGAGAGCGAGCAGTGGGCAAACAGCCAGAGAAGCAGACAGACAACCAGAGAGAGAGAGAGGCTGCCAGCCAGTCAGGGAGAAGCAGACAGGCAGGCAGGCAGGCAGGCAGACACCGTAACAGGAGCAAGCAGGTAGAGAGGCAGGTAGAAACGAGGAAAGAAGAAAAATCAAGAGGTCAGCAGGGAGAAAAAGAGAAGAGGAGATGCAGGCAGAGTGGGAGATGGACAAGCGGGAGAATCAGGCAAATTAACAGATTTACATGCAAAGCACACTCAAGAGAATGACGAGTGTTTGTATAGGGATGCACACAGCCACCTTTAGCCACTCACACCTGCAGCTCATGGCACATGTGGCAGGCAGGCAGAGGCGCTCAGCACAGAGGGAGAGGGCACAGAGGCAGAGAGACTGCGGCACACATGATGTGCAGGGTTGCCCACACACACGTGGGGACACTCTTCCCAGACACACACAGAGGGGCCAGAAAGAGGGGGAGTCAGGCACACATGAGGAAGAGGCACATACAGTCAGGGCCTGGAAGACAGACGTAAACAGAAAGAAGACAAAGATGAAAAGTCACTTAGAGGTGACAGAGCCTGAGAGTCAAAGGGATAAGAAAGTCTCTGTGAAAAAATAAACACACACATACAGAGAAGCCCATATACAGAAAGGGGGATAGTAAAGAGAGACTGAGAAAGAGAACAGAACAAAATTGAATAGAAGAGGGACAGGAGTTAGACTCAATACAGGAATGATATGAGAACAGAGGCAAGAGAATTCCAAATGCCAGGTTAAGAAAAAGATGGAAATCAATGCTCAATAAAGTGTATTAGTCTATGTAGGGGGGGTGGCACATCAATAAAGAACATTTTAGCCTCCTAAGCAAAAATTTGCATAGTATTCTTTGTCACTAATACTTTCTGGTTGCTGCCTACCTATCCCTACCTCTTAAGGTGCTCTGAACACTGCAGGGGCTGCTGGGTGGCTGACAGCTCTACTTAAGCGGTAGAGAAATAACCCAGGAGAGAAATGATTCCACAGGCATGGGATAGGAAGCAAGGAAAGGGGCAACATGAGATCAAAAGAATGGGAGGAAACTGGAGTAAGAAAAGGGTGACAAGAATGAAAAAGGGTAGAACTGAGCTATTTGCCCTCTTTCCTTTGCTAGCATTGCTCAACTGGCAAGTGTTATTTTATGACTTCTCTGCTCACATCTCTGGGTGAGAAAGCTACTTTCGGACTCCTTTTCAATCCATCTGACTCCTGGTACCACTTTTAAGATAACACTGGAGTACAGTGGGAAATCATGGGTCAGAAAGTTAGATGAAAATGCGAGTGTAACCCCCTACCTCTTTCTTTTTCTCAGTCCCAGTTACTTTTCTCTTTGACGGTACCTCAGTTTCTTCTACTTTATCAGTGTTGGAGATCATGGAGGAAGGGAAATATACTGAAACGGGAGAAAAGAGAAAATAATTTCACAATCTTCAGACTTGACTCTTTCCCCTTTATTCTAAAAATCTGTTCTATTTACCCCTAAATTAATTCCCCAAATCAGATGAATTTTATATTCAAGCAACTGGGGGAGGGAAGGGAGAGGTAAAGGAGAAAAGAGTGAAGATAAAATTTACAACAATTATAAATCACTGAAAAGGCTGGGCAAAGGGGAGAATCAAACATGGACTCCTTTGAAAAAAACTCAATCATCCTATCTATTCATGTCTCTCCCCCAAAAGTCACTAGGATTTCTATTACTTTTTTAAAGAAAGAAAAAAAATCCAGTACCGCTTCTCACTTAAAAGATACATACACAATTAAATGCGTTTTGACTTCAATGAGGTATGTAGAAACAGAGTTATACATAAACATATATTTCATCTTTCTCCTTTTCAATGCCTGAAGGGGAAAAAAAAACCTTCACATCAAACCACTCCCTTCTGAAGTATTCAGAAAAAAAAAAAAAAAGCTTTTCTTTAAGAGAAGGGAGGTGGGGAGGAAGACTAGTAAAGAAAAGAAAAAAATTTAAATCTAGTTGGACTAGTATCTAACTAGTTAACCTTTAACAATTTATGCTGATGTCAGACTGAGCATGAGTACTGATTAATGCCCCCCCTCAAATATTTTTTTATAAGGGGGGAGTTAGTCACAGCAGCCATTTTTGTTTTATGCAGAAGTCCTTCATGCCCCCCCCAACGCGCATAGACACACACACACACACTCAGTACACAAGGAAAATATCTCTATTAATCTGTGCACTAATCAGTTATGAAAAAAGGGAGAAATTTGTGGGTTTCTGGGTAGAGGCTTGGTGATGGGGGTGTAACAGGGAGGAGAATGGGGGGGTGAAAAATGAAATATTAAGCCAGCCATTTTGTTTTAAAAGGGGATTTTCCCCCCCTCTCCCTTTTTTCATGGAGGGGGTGGCGGTGCTGGAGGGGGGGTTGTTTTAAAAATAATTTCAAGGCGGCCATCTTAGTGCCTCAGCTCTGAGAAATATTTCTGAGCGCCCCCCTCAGAATTTAAATATATTTAAAGCAACAGACAGGGAGGTAGAGAGAAGTCGAAAACTTTTATATACATATATATATGTTTTTTAATCCCCCTTTCTTGTTCTCTTGGGAGGAAGGAGAGAGGGGGAAAAAAAAAGTCTCTCCTCAATTTTTTCCAAGAAAATTTCTGGGGGTGGTTTGGCCCCCCTCCTCAG